AGTGGGAGAGGGAGAAGCAGGATTCCCGCTGAGCAGGGAGCCCGATGCGGGGCTCGATCCCAGGACCCTGAGATCATGACCTGAGTGGAAGGCAGATGCTTAACCATCTGAGCCACCCAGGCACCCCGAAAGGGATCTATTATTAAGCCATATCTTTTCTAGTCTTAAATACCACTAGGGAAGTAGATATTTTTGATCAAATGACTGTCACAAGATTGAGAAAATCTTTTCGTAGAAATTCATAGTGTGAAACATATGGGACTTTCGTCTTGTCCTTAGCCCTCCCATCTGTGAGGTGAATGAACCTGATTTTAGACATCCTAAATAAAGATTGTATCACTTGTTCTAATCTTTTCTTCCATCAGAGAATTCACCATGTCTTGTTTCACATGCTAATTGTTTTGTGCACAGACTTCTATACAGTTTTTAAAAAATCATTCTACTGTAGGTAAAAATTGTCCAAATGATATTGGTCATTAACAGTTGATTTGCAGAAACAGGGATGAATATATGCTCAATTTGAATAGTTTATTCCTATTTTGGGTAACACCAGTAGTTCCTAAGGTTTAGTTTAGCGCCAATTAAGAGGAATGACCTAATGTTGTTGTTGTTGTTATTGTTGTCGTTTTTGAAAACACACAAGAGAAATCAAGTCATGTTACGATCTGAATGGAAAACACGTACAAGGCCCATTGTGCTATCCGCATGCCATCAGTGAAGGGGATGGGCAGCTCTGGCTCAAGGATTCCTTAAATACACTGCTTTGGAATTAGATTTCTGTTAATCATAGAATATTAGTAATTTTTAAGATACAGAGAAGTTACCTGCTAAAGGAAATTGGTAGTCATTAATTTAAAAAAAACAAGCTACAATCCTTTGGTGTTCAACAAACCAGATTTTCTTGAAAGATTACGACTGTCTTCTTGGACTGTTTTCTAAATCATAAGGCTATTAATCTCACCTTTAACAAATGTTCTCATTGGTTGCTCAGACTATTTTCTTCTCATTTACTACTGTCCTAACTAGACTACATTTATTTCCCTTCGGACACTAGCAATGAGAATCTGGTACGGGTCACTGGCACATCCAGTTTTGGACCATCTGAGTATTATTCCTGGGAATTTGAAATTCTAAAAATTTGAAACTGCTTACTCTTGTACTCTCCTACTTTAGACATAATTTTGTTCTGTAAACAGGCTCTTGGGATATATTATTCTGCATTTAAAGTTTGTTTTAGGATAATAAGCTCCTGTACAACTGCCCAAATGTGTGGATGCTCACAGTAGAGAGGGAGGTAGAGTGGGGGAGGGCCTGTCACAGCTGTCAGATCAGAAACCCATTTCTGGTTCTGATCCTTGCTGCTGCAGACCTAAAGTTGCAAAGAAGCACAAAAATATAGTGGAAAAGACTGAAAACAATCCAAAAGTCCTTCAGTGAAGGGATAGGTAAATGAATTATACATCCATAAAATGGATGTATACTTAGGAATGAAAATAACAAACTTGACTCCTGCAGCAACATGGCTGAACCTCAGATGCATTTTGCTAAGTCCAAGAAGCCACACCCAAAATGCTTTATAGGGTACGGTTCCATTTATAGGACATTCTGGGAAAGGCAAAACTATAGGCACTGAGAAAGTATCAGTGTTATCAGAGGTTGGGGGTAGGAGGAGGTACAGACTAGAAGTTTTGGGGGTGATTACATGCTATATATACATGGGTCAAAACTCACAGAATTGAACAGCATAGAGAATTTTACTGTACATAAATCAAAAAAAAAAGATATAAAAGAAAATTGGGGGGGTGCCTGTATTGCTCAGTCAGTTAAACATCTGACTCTTGATTTCGGCTCTGGTCACAATCTCAGGGATGTGAGATTGAGCCCTGCGTGGGGCTCCACATTCATCAGGGAGCCTGCTTCTCTCCCTCACCCTGCTCTCTCTCACTAAAGTAACTCTTAAAAAAAAAAAAAAAAAGGATAGTGGCTTCCCTTGGAGTAGGAGTAATGACTGGGAGGGAGATGAGGTGGGGTACCTGGGGAGCTGGTTACGTTCTGTTTGAGCTTCATGCTGATTGTTACATGGGTGTTGGTTTATAAAAATTCATTGGGGTATATGTACACTTAGGATATTCATACATTTTACATATGTATGTTATACTTCAATAACAAGTAAACAACAAGGGACAGTGGGAGTGAATTCCAGCCTTCACTGTCCTCTCATCTTCCCCCCATCTGTATACACTACTATGCTAGAAAAATTGTAGTGTGAAACTCTCCCTGGTCAGGTTTGGTACCTGTTCCTAAAAGCTTCAAACAACATCAGTTTACCTGACCATCAATTCTGTTCACTATGCTGTTTGGCAGACCAGGATTTGGTTTGCCAACTCTCAGGTAACCATATTTGGGCATGGAATGAAGAAAGAGCTGGTAGTGGAAAGTCACTGAGAAAGTAATCACGGATAAGCAGTGATTACTCTAAGTCACACTGAATGAAAGAAAATGTATCTTACCTGGGTGATTTAAGTAATCTTTTTCAGGCCTGTTTCTAGACTCTCGATAGAGAGAGAACTGCTAGGGACTGTTGTGTTTAGCACTGCGCAGATGTGAGGATGGCTTATGAAATCTTGATGTCTTCCAGTTCCATGTTGAAGACTGAGGTAGAGTAGGCAAAAGTCACATCTCTGACAGAGTAGGAAGGCTTAGAAGAGATGAGTAAACATGATTATAGGGACTGAAATGTAAATAATTTCTTCAAAGTCCATCAAAGAAAATTTCTCTATAGTTGATGAAGAATGGTGGACCATATTCTTCTGTCTTCTACCAATCATAAACATACTCCAGAGCAAGGTAGTAAGAGTCAAGTATCAGATGCTGTGATCAGTGTTTTGTACACATTACTTTATTTAACCCTTAAAACAATCATGCAAGATAGTCACTCAAATCCCATTTAAAATGAAGGCTCAAAGTAATCTGTACAAAGTGAGTTGCAACAATTCCAGGCTTCTGATTCCAAAGGAAAAGGGAATTAACTTTTAGAATGTATTATGTGCTAAGCTCCTTTATCTTAGTCTTAAAATATTTCCATTTAATTTGTGTGTGTGTGTGTGTGTGTGAGAAAGAGAGAGAGAGAGAGAGAGAGACCGCACGAGCAGGGAGAGTGGAAGAAGGAGAGAAGCAGACTCCCCACTGAGTGCAAAGCCTGATGCGGGCTCAACCCCACAACCCCAAGATCGTGACCCTGACCCAAACCGAAACCAAGACTTGGGACACTTAACCGACTGAGCCCCCAGATATCTCCATTTTAGAGATAAGTAAACAGAAAGAGGGATGGCATGGCTTGTCCAAGGTTAGTTACGTAACCAGTAAGTGGTGGACCTGGTATTTAAGCCCAGCTCTGATTTCAGAGCCTACATTCTTCACGTTATAGCACTCCACTGCCAACGCCGATGGGAGCTATACTGTGCAATTCTGAAGGAAGATAAATGGAATCTTTGACATTGGACTAAAACACCAGATAATCTAAACTTAGGTCAGAAAAATGACATTTGTTGTTTTTCCCTGATATCTTTCATATTCAAGCACCTCAATAAAATCTCTTAAGTTTACGGATATTTACTTTCTTTTAATCAGTAATTCAAAGTTTGAGGGACTGAATAACCCACTAAATTCAGCTTACAGCATGGGAAGAAAAGGAACTGGATGGTAGAAAAACCACTGCCTTGGAACCAGGAATCAAAGGTTCTAATCCTGGCTCTGTTCCTGATTTGCAGTGTAACTTTGGTTAAGGCATGGGGATCTCTGGACTTGTTTTACCACGTGTAAATTAAGAGTATTCAAGACAGAATTTTGGAAAGTAAACTGTTTAATACTTTAGAAAAAAAATTTTTTTCTCACGAGGAAAGCCCCCAAATTGCCATCTTGGAATTTAAATACTATGTAGTGGGTTACCAGGTGTTTGTGAGTCTGTTCTGCAAGCTTGCTTCCATCATTTCTGAAGAGCCCTGGGAAGATGTGGAATAGAAAAGCAACCAGAAACGTGTAGTCACATTTAAGAGGCATTTTAATTTTTGCCAACTTAAAAATATTAAGAATATTAAAATACGAATATCTCATAAAAGATTTGAAATATTATTATTCTCTCTGTATCAGACTAATGAATTTTCCTAATAAACACCATTCCATTTTTGGTTCTTTCTTTTGCCTCCCCATTTTTGGTTCCAAAGAAGTTTTTTGTCACTGTGATGGTGCAGGCTGATTTGTTTCCCAGAAACATGTTTTTCAGCTGTGATAGGAAGTGACTTGTTCCGTGGGTCTGTCCTTACTTACCATGTGCCTTGGGGCAAGGACTTTCATCTAAGTCTGTCTCTGTAAAGGGGCACTAACGTAACATAATTTAAGTCATAGTGCCTTACATAATAGGGGCTGAGAAAAACAAGGCAGCATTATATACTAGAAAGAACATGGGGCAGAAAGACTTGGACACAAATACCAAGCACTGCCGCTTACTAGCTGTCATCTTGGGCAAATGATTTCATTTAAGCCTTACAGTGGGGCTAGTAATTCTTTAAAATTCTTATTTTTTAAAATTAAATGATGATATACTAAAGTGGCTGTTACACAGTAGTACTAAGCAATTAGTACTTTTATTAATAATTCTATACAATCTAGAAAGCTGCACAAAAGTTAGTATTTTCTTACAAAAACATCACTTAACAAGGACATCCAAAAGCAATGTAATACACATTGTAACAGATAAATGGCATCATTTTTATAACCTCTTGATATTTTAGAACACGTAACCAGTAAATACTTCAAAACGGCTTATGCTGGGGTCTTGCTGCAGAGTGATTTCTGGGACTCTTGAGATTATTTTACAATAATTTTCTTCTAGTTGTTTTATGTTTGGTAACAACCTACTATAATTATTGTTATAGCCATAGTATATATTTCAATGTGTCAACATACTCAATTCCAAAACCTACAGAAGAAAATTTGATTAGGTTCCCTAATGGCCCATGAATCCAGTTTATAAATTACATGATGCTCCAAGTTGTTTCAAGAAAATATTTGCTTGTAAACAATATTTTCTTTCAGAATTCAAGACACATTTAACATATGGATTTTACAACAAAGTTTATTAGCTGTTCTCCTCTTTCTCATAAATGGAATGGATAATGTTGATAATCCTTTACAAACCAGTACTCATTTAAGAAACTGTAATGAGGAGGCTGTGAAAAACACATATTTAATAAACAACTCCAAAAAAGCAAAGGGAAGCCAAACAATATTATTAAAAGACCAGAGAAGTTGATTTCTGAAATCATATCTACCTTTCACTAAAGTTTCTTAAAATTGCTCACCATGAAGATCTGGGCAACTCTAGCGCACAGCAGCTACGAGAGGTGGAAAGTGTGCAGTCTGAGGGGAACACACACAAGGCTTTTGCTTATCTGCCTATTAGTGAAAGGAAAGCTGGAAAGAGAGGCAGAAGACCAAATCCAAACCCAATGACAAGAACAACAGTAACAAAAACCCCAAAACAGAACCAGGAACCATTTGAAAACTTTTGTAGAAAAGAGGAGAACACGCCTATACTTCTGTATGTAATCTACTTTCCCTAAAGGTTTCTTTCCACAACCACCATACCCCCTTTTTCAGTTCACATGATTAAGGAAGATAAAGTCTAATCAATATTTAATTTAAAAACCAAACAAAAAGTTAAGAGTAGGTGGCAAAAGAAAAAATATATTTTAAATATATATATATGTTTGTGTGTGTGTGCAACTATGTAAAGAAAATAATTCCCATAGTTACAGAGTTTAGTTAAAGAAAGTTTTATATATATTTATATATATATATATATTTTATTATAACAAAATAGGCAGTTACTGTGGGTAAAATATTCATTAAAATCTGATCCCTAAGAATACATTTAAAGTTTTAGACTATGAACTGGACTCCTTTTCCATTGCCATAATGATTACTACATCACCACCGTAATGTCTGTTCTGTCTGTATTTATGTCTATGAAGTTTCCTCAACCTTATGTGTAAAAGGTGAGCTCCCCTAGCACCTAAACACGGCCTCGATTCAGAGAATGTGATGATCATTATGTATGAACTTTTGTAAGACACTATAAACAGTGCTGCACAAGTAGATTAAAAACATTTTTAACACTGCTATTTCTAGCAAATGTGTTGAGAAAAAAACCCTCAAACAATAAAAGACATGAAGAACTCTTATGAAAAATGAATATCCCTTGTGAAATTATAAAAGTTAATGCAGACATTAATTTTGAAATTAAAAAACATATTTTCCTTATTTGTCTATAATGAAATAATTGCTTTGATAACACAAGTCAATTGAGAAAAGGACTTGAGAGTTAATATATTGGCCAAACCATGCTATTAAAGTTAAGCGTGCACTGTTGCTCAAAGTTTACTAAATCACTGATTTACACCACTTTTCTTTCATTTATACTGAAATTTGAAAAGAATGTATATAAAGCTTTTCTGAAAATCTCTTAAAGTTACTTTCCCTTAAACATTAAGGAATTTTGCCACAATTTCCCAGTCTCCCCAAATCCTTAATAGCTGGTCAGGCCATTCCATCTTCAGTTCTGAAAAATGGCCACAAACCAATAGTGACATAAAATAATACAGATGCTACAACTTGAAGGAGACCCTAGATGTCAAAACTAAGCACAACTGCAGACCATGATGAGTGGGATGTGACTCAATGTGGAAGGAGTATTGTAGACAGACTCCAAAAGGAAAGGGCAAAGAAGTGTCAGAGAAAATGGACTGTGGAAAAGAGAAACATCAGTCCTCATAACTTTTCTTTTGCTGGAACCCAGATGTAAGGACCAGACTGTTCTTCTATGATCTGCTTCACTTGGTTATAAATGTCTTCCAGAGTATCTCCCTGTATAATAGCTGTAATAACAGAAACAAAATTAGTAACCTCCATTAATTATCTATCTTTACCATAACAACTATTGGTGAAATAGAAGCTAAATCTTAGAACCAGTTACTCACCCAGCAAGAGACCATTTATGTATTGTTTGCTTAGTAATAGCCACTCATTTATTTTCCTACTTGAAAAATATAAGAATTTTTATTTTAAATATTCATCAAAAAGTGAGATTTGGTGATTTTTACTTAGTTTTGTATGTTTTGTAGATACACACTGAAGTACTTAAGAGGCAAAAGGGCATCTGCTGGCAACTTACTCTTAAACGTTTCAGAAAAAAATGAAATGTGGTAAAATGTTAACATTTAGAAAATATGGGTGAAAAGTGTATGAGAATTGCTGGTACTACTCTTGTGAATGTTCTGTAAGTCTGAAGTTATTAAAAAAAAAAAAGAAAAAAGCACATGGGTTACAACACCATGGCATTTGATGTACTTAGGGTGAACACCTGAAAAATAATTTAAAGGACAAAATGAATGAGAGATTATTTGGGAATTGCTACGCACTCATTTTTTTTAAACAGATAATATATTAAAATGGATCAAAATTTATAAAGCATAAGATTAGCAAAGTCATTTTCACAGAAGAAATCAAGTCAATCTATTTTTCTCCAGTCTAGTATGTCCTAATGAACCACTTAAGAAACACTAACTTTTAAGATTCCTCATCACCACTGCCTAGGTTAGATGAATTATTCTGAAAACCACAATATTAATTACATAGTATTAACCAGAGTAATTAATTACTGGTAGATGTGGGCATAGTTCAAGGTTCAATGGGTCAGTTCATATGGCTCCAAATCAAAATTCTGTCAGGGCACTGACACACATGATGCCAACCTGTGAAATGTTCAGTAAATTCTTGTTCCAGTTTCATGGCTCTCTCAAATGTCTTTCTGGCTTGTTCTTCTGTTAGACGCTTATTCATTTCCCTATGCAAATAAATTTAGAAATTAGCAATTAGTACATTATAATACTTTTTGAAAAAAAGATGACAAAGGAGAAGAGACACGTAAAACATAAAATCATGAAAAGTTGAGTTCTGTTGAGAATATGAATGTCATTAAAAATTAGATTCAGTCACGAAGTATATTAAGCTTTATGCTCGGATTGACAGAGGGTTTCAATACATTTTCAATACATTTTCGCATTGGCTCAAGGCAGCCAAAAAAACTAAGCATTAATTTGATATTTTTCACTTTGATGAAAATTTAGAGATCTATCTACCAATTTACGGATAACAAAAATAACATATAAACATACCAAACAGCACCATGAGAAGGTACTCAACAAAATATAGTCTAGGGAGAACTCTGTAGAAGAAATGACGTGGTTTCTTTAACAACAAAAAAAGAGCTATGGAGGGAGAATCTATAGATTAAAAGAATTAGCAACAAATTATCACAAATAGATCTTATTTGGAACTTGATTCAAGCAAATAAATTGAAAAAACATAAGCAAAACTGATGAGACAAAACATAACAAAACTGAACTATCTGATGATATAAAGAATCATTTTAAGTGTGACATCAGAGAGATGTTTTCTAATAACATAATTCTTATCTTTCAAATATATACTGAAATATACGGATGAAATCATGTAATGTCTGGGGCTTGTTTCAAAATAATCTGGTGTGGATGGGTAGGGGGATAGATGAAACAAGACTGGTCATAGCTGATAATTATTGCTGCAGCTGGATGATGGGTATATGAGAGTTTGTTCCCAACTTAAAGGGAAAGCTTCCAATATTTCTTCATTAAATATAACATTTGCTTTGCTATTTTATAAGTGACCTTTACTGGATTAAGGAAATTCCCTATTCACAGTTTGCAGAATGTTTTTTGTCATGAATGGATGTTTATTTTATTAAATGCTTTTTCTGCATTTATTAAAATGATCATATGCTTTTACTCCTAAAATCTCTTAATGTGGCACACTTACATGGATTTTAAAAGATTCATTAAAAATTGTGAAAAAATATACATAACATGTAAGTTACCATTTTAACCATTTTTAAGTGTACAGTTTATTGGCATTAGTATCTTCACATTGTTGTGCAACCATTACCACCACCCAACCCTACGACTGTTTTTGTTTGGTAAAACCAAAACTCTATTCCTATTAAAAATAACTCCCTTTTGTCATCTCTCCTCAGGCCCCACTAACCACCATTATTATACTTTGTCTCTATGATTCTGACCACTGAGTAGCTCGTAAAAGTGGAATCATACAGTATTTGTCTCTTTGTGACTCGCTTATTCCACCGAGCATAATGCCTGCAAGGATCATTCATGAACATACTGCAGAATTTCCTTCCTTTGTGTAATTGTGCCATATTTTGCTTATCCATGCATTCACTGATAGACACTTAGGTTTCTTCCACATTTTAGTTATTGGGAATAATGCTACCATAAACATGAATGTACAAGTATCTATTCAAAAAAGCAGCATATACCTAGAAGTGGAATTGCTGGATCATATAGTAACTCTATGTATCTTTTCATGTGCTTATTGGCTGTATCTTCTTTGGAGAAATGTCTATTCAAATCCTTTCCCTATTCTTGAATTGAGTTGTCTTCTTGTTGTTTTAGGAGTTCTCTAAATATTCTAGATATTAATCCCTTATTAGATATATGATTTGCAAATATTTTTCCCATTCTGTGGATTGCCCTTTTACTCTGTAGACGGTGTCTTTTGATATACAAAACCTTATTTTATTATTTTTTAAAGATTTTAAGTAATCTCTACACCCAGCGTGGGTGGGGCTTGAACTTACAACCCTGAGATCGAAAGTCACAGGCTTCACCGACTGAGTCACCCAGGGGCCCCTGATATACAAAACTTTAAAATATGGGGCACCAGCCTGGCTCAGTCAGTTAAGCATCTGCCTTCGGCTCAAGTCATGATCCCAGAGGCCTGGGATCGAGTCCTATGTTGGGCTCCCTGTTCAGCCGGGAGTCTTCTTCTCCCTCTTCCTCTGCTCTGCTTGTGCTGTCTCTCAAAAAAAAAAAAAAATCTTAAAAAAAAAAAAAAGTCATGGAATCTAATCTTTGTTGTTGTTACCTCTGCCTTTGGTGTCATATCCAATAAACCAATGCCAAATCCAATGTTGTAAAGCTTTTGTCCTACGTTTTCTTCTAAGAGTTTTATTGTCTTACATTTAGGTCCTTGATTCATTTTGAGTTAATTTCTGTATATGGTGTTATGTAAGAGTCCAACTTAATTCTTTTACACGTAGATACCCAGTTTTCCCAGCACCATTTGTTGAAAAGACTGTCCTTTCCCCCACCGAATGGTTTCATATCCTTGTTAAAAATAAAAAATCATATATGTAACAGTTTACTTGTGACCTCTCTATTCTACTCCACTGGTCTTTTAAATTTTTTTCATCATGGTAAGTGTACTGTTTAATCCCCATCCCTTATTTCTCCCATCCCACTACCTACCTCCCCTCTGATAACCATCAGTTTGTTCTCTGTAGTTAAGTCTGTTTCTTGGTTTGTCTCTTTTTCCTTTACTTGTTTCTTAAATTCCACATGAGTGAGATCATATGGTCTTTGTCTTTCTGACTTATTTTGCTCAGCATATCTCCAGCTTTAACCATGTTATTGCAAATGACAAGATTTTATTCTTTTTTATTGCTGGATCGTATATACATTCCATTGTATATACATACCACCTCTTCTTTATCCATTCATCTATCAGTGGACACTTGGGCTACTTCCATAGTTTGGCTACTGTAAATAATGCTGCAATAAATATAGGGGTGCATGTATCCCTTTGAGTTAGTGTTTTTTTTTTTTTTAAGATTTTATTTATTTGTCAGAGAGACAGAGGGAGCACAAGCGGGGGGCGGGGGGGGCGCTGCAGGAAGAGGGAGAAGCAGGCTCCCCGCTGAGCAAGGAGCCCGATGCAGAACTCAATCCCAATCCGGACCTGAGCCAAAGGCAGACGCTTAACCGACTGAGCCACCCAGGCATCCCTGAGTTAGTGTTTTTTGTATTTTTGGATAAATACCCTATAGTGGTGATTCCTGAATCATAGGGTTGTTCTATTTTTAATTTTTTTGAGGAACCTCCAAACTGTTTTCCACAATGGCTGTGCCAGTTTGCATTCCCACCAATAGTGCATGAGGGTTCCTTTTTCTCCACATCCTTGGCAACACTTGTTCTTTGTTTTTGATTTTAGCCACTCTGACAGGTGTGAGGTGGTATCTCATTATAGTTTTGTATTCCGCTGGTCTTATATATCTGTCTTATGCCAATACTACAGTTTTGGTTACTGTAGCTTTGTAGTGAATTATGAAATTAGGAACCCTGAATCTTCCGCGTTTTTTTTCTTTTTTAAAATACTGTTTTGGCTATTTGGGGGTCCCCTGAGATTCCATATGAATTTTAGTATGGGTTTTTCTATTTCTGCAAAAAATGTCATTGGGATTTTGACAAACATAGCACTGAATTTGTAGATTACTTTGGGTAGTACTGACATTTTAACAACCTTAAGTCTCCTAAATCCATGAACATGAAAAGTGTTTCCATTTATTTTTTAACTCCTTTATTTTCTTTCAGCCATGCTTTGTAGTTTTCACTGTACAAATCTTTCTTTCATCTCCCTGGTTAAATTAATTCCTAAGTATTTTATTCTTTTTGATGCTACTGTAAATGGAATTCCTTTTCAGATTGTTCACTGTCCATGTATAGAAATGCAATTTTTTTTGTTGACACTATATGCTGCTACTTTACTGAATTTATTTATTACTTCTAAGAGTTTTTATGTGCAGTCCTTAGGGTTTGGTATAGATAAGATCATATCGTCTGCAAACAAATTTTATTTCTTCCCTTCCAATTTGGATGCCTTTTATTTTTCTTGCCTAATTCCTCTGGCTAGTATTTCCAATTCCTGTGTTGAATAGAAGTGGTAAAAGCAGGTATCCTTGCCTTGTTCCTGATCTTAGGGAAACAGCTTTCAGTCTTTCACCATTGAGTATGATGTCTGCTGTGTGTTTTTCATACATGGCTTTATCATATTGGGGTAGCTTCCTTCTATTCCTATTTTATTAAGTGTTTTTAATCACGAAAGGGTGCTGTTAAATGCCTTTTTAAAAAAGGTAATCTCTATGCCCAATGTGAGGCTCAAACTCACGACCCCAAGAGTCACATACTCTACTGGACTGAGCCATTCAGGTGTCCCTGTCAAAAGCTTTTTCTGCACTGAGATGATTTGTATTTTTTCCTTCATTTTGTTAATACAGTATACTATGTTGATTAATTTTCCTATGTCAAACCATCCTTGTATTCCAGGAATAAAACCACCTGGTCATGGTGTGTAATCCTCCTAATGTGTTGGTGAGTTCTGTTTGCTAGAATTTTGTTGAGGATTTTTGCATTAAGGTTCATAAGAGATACTCATCTGTAGTTTTCTTGCAGTGTCTTTGTATGGCCTTAGTATCATGGTAATGGTGGCCTCATAAAATGAGTTAGGAAGTGTTTCCTTCTCTTCATTTCTTTTTTTGAAAAGTTTGAGAACTGGCATTAGTTCTTTAAACGCCTGGTAAAATCCACCAGTGAATCCACTGGTGAAACCACCAGCTCCAGGGTTTTTCTTTGTTAGGTTTTGATTACTGATTCAAATTCCTTAGCCATTATAGGTCTCTTTATATTTTCTACTTCTTTTTCATTTAGTCTTGGTAGGTTTGTGTTCCTAGGAGCTTGACCATCTATGTTATACAAATTTCGGTGCACAATTTGTCATAGTACTCTTATAATCTTTTTATTTCTATAGAATCTGTAGTAATGTCCCCACTTTCATTTCAGATTTTAGTAATTCAAATCTTTTTAAAATAGTCCATCTAGCTAAAGGTTCATCTTTTTTATTCCAAGAATCAACTTTTGGTTTCATTGATTTTCTCTATCACTTTCTATTCTGTCTTTTGTTGATCTCTGCTCTAATCTTTATTGTTTCCTTCCTTTGTTAGTTTTGAGTGTAGACTCTTGTTCTTTTTCTGGGGGTAGGGACTTGCAACAATGACAATGGCTACCTGCCTCTGTGCCTGCACCTCCACAACCAAAAGCAGCAATCAGCTATTAGAGCACAGTTGTCCAAAATTTGGAGAACCAAACCTTATTGCCCAGCTTGGTCCCCACAAACTGCTCAAGAAAGGCATGCACGGCTGCCTGCTATGGGCTGAAGGTGGGGAGATGGGTAGCTGCTATCAGGCTAAAAGCTGAAATTAACCAAAATTAACCATTCAAACCTTCCCCTGGAAGCTGCAAGCCTTCAGTAGACTCCTGAGTTCCAAAGTAGTTACTTCTGACAGATTCTATTAAGTCCAATTGTGTCTGGGTGGGGAAATGGATTCCTGGTGCTTCTTACTCCTTCTTTTCTCTAGCTCTACCACTAATTTTTACGTGTTTAACTAACCTTGCGTTCTTTTTTCTTTTAAAGATTTTATTTATTTATTTGACAGAGAGAGAGAGACAGCGAGAAAAGGAACACCAGCAGGGGAGAAGCAGGCTTCCCGTGGAGCAGGGAGCCCGACACAGGGCTCTATCCCAGGACCCTGGGATCATGACCTGAGCCGAAGGCAGATGCTTAACGACTGAGCCACCAAGGTGCCCCTAGCCTTGTATTCTTGAATAAACCCAACTTGGTTATTTTATCTTATTTAAAAAAATTAATTGTTGAACTCAATTTATTTGTATTTTGGTAAGGATTTTTGCATCTATATTTGTGTTAAGACTGGCTTACCATTTTCTTTTTATTAATTTTTAATTTTTTATTGTTATGTTAATCACCATACATTACGTCATTAGTTTTTAATGTAGTGTTCCATGATTCATTGTTTGTGCATAATACCCAGTGCTCCACGCAGAACATGCCCTCTTTAATACCCATCACCAGGCTAACCCATCCCCCCACCCCCCTTACCATTTTCATTTCCTATGAGGTCTCAGTCAGGTTTTGGTATTAAAATAATGTCCATAAACTTAGTTGAAGAATTTGTGTAATATTTATATTATTTAGCTTTTGTCTATATTTATATTATGTTATATATTATGTATATTATTTATATTTATATTTTGTTTATATTATTTAGTTTTCTGAAAAAAAATTTTTTTTAAGTATAACTTTCAAACATAGAAGAGGAATATCATCAATATACAGCTGGATGAATTTTAACCAACTTAAACTTACCTGTGTACCATCTAGGACCTAGATCAAGATCTAGAACATTACACCAGTAACCCCAGAATCTGGGTGTGCTCATTCCAGTCACCTACCTACCTTTAAAGAGTAACCTCCATTTGACTTCTGTAAGCAATGATTACACTGGAATCATAGAATATGTATAAAGGAATCCTAGACTATATATACTTTTAGGTCTGGATTGCTTTTTTACTTAAATTATGTTTGTGAGATTCTTCTATACTTTTGTGTGTAGTTGGAGATGGCTCATTCTCATTATCGTAGAATATTTCATTGTCTAAGTATGTCGTAATTTATGTATTCACTGATGGACATTTGGATAGTGTTTTTTGGTTATTTTGAACAGTACTTCTGTCAGCAATATAGTACATGTCTTTGGTGAACATACGTAAACATTTCTGTTGAGTACATATCTAGAAATGAGACTTCTGGATCTTTAGTTATGTGTTGGTTCAGTTTTAGGAGATACTATAAATAGTTTACCAGTGTGCGTGTACCAATTTATACCTCCATCAGTGTTACGAATTTCAGTTGTTCCATGTCCTTGCTAACAACTGGTATTTTTTCATTTTAGCTATTTTTGGACATTAGGGTTTTGTGTTTCTTTTGTTTCTGTTTTTTAAGTAGGCTCCACGTCCAAAGTGGGGCTTGAACTCATGACCCTGAGATCAAGTGTCACGTGCTTTACCGACTGAGCCAGTCAGGAGCCCCGACATTATAGTTTTAACCTGTGTTTCCATGTTTAATTGAGTACCCTCTCATATGTTTATTCACTATTTGGATATCTCCTTTCATGAACGGTCTAAGTCCTTTGCTCATTTTTCTATTGGGTTGCTTGTGTTAACCTTTTTAAGGTCTATCTGATGTGTGGTGATATCCCGTTTTCATTCCTGATATTATTTATGCCTTCTGTATTTTCTTTTCTTGATCTTTCTCAGGAATTGTATACAGTATTTTTAAAGAAAACATTTTTGATTTTGTTGATCCTAACATGTTTGTTTTCTCTTTCGTTGTATTTCTACTTTCTTTGAGTTTCACTGGTCTTTTTCTAATTTCTCAAGACCTTAGACTGCTAAAATTTATTTGACTTCCTACATTCTTTCCTAATATTTAGGGCTGTGGATTTTCCATCACCAAGGCTACTATACTCCAAATTCATTTACTTACAATTTTGTTACCATTTAGTTCAAAACATTTATTAACTTATGCTGTGATTTCTTCTTTGACCCATCCAGAAGTCAAATGCTTAATTTCCAAATATATGGGAATTTTCTAGTGATCTTTTATTGATTTCTACTTTAATTTCACCATGGTCAGAGAATATTTGTTTTTAATCACTGAAATTTATGGCTTGGCATATAATTAGTTTTGGTAATTGTTCTATGTGCATTTGAAATTAATGTGTAAATTCTGCAGATGTTGAATGTAGTGTTTTTTACATATGTTAGTTAGGTAAAGTTTTTACTTGGTGTTCCATATCCATACTGTTTTTTTGTTTCTTTTCTTATTCAAGTATTTCCTGATCTGTTAAGCTCTCCCACTGTGATTCTGGAATTATTTTTTTCCTGTATAATTATCAATTTATCCCTTACATATTTTGAGACTGTATTATAAGTACAAATGTATAAATATACCATCCTGATGGAATGAACTTTTCTTTCATTTTTATGAAATGTCCATTTTTATGGCTAGTAATAATTTTTTGCCTTTAGATATACTTTGATAGCAATATAAACAAACTTATTTTTGATTAATGTTTGTACAGTGTATCTTTTTTCTAGACTCTCACTTTCAGCTTTTCCACAGCCTAATATTTAAGGTGTGTCTTATGAAAGCAACATATAGTTGATGGGTATCCTAACACACTATTCCAAAATATGGCACTTTGGCATACTGAATATTTTAAGCTGAAGGAATTTGCAAAATGGCAGGTATATGAATGACCTTCCCTGAGGCAGTTCAAAGATCCTGTGAGAGGTGACATTCCTATACCTGGAGGAAGCAAACATCCTTATCTCCAAAGATGGAGGGACACTGAGAAGAATGTGAACTAACAGGCCTTGCTAAGTTTCCCTAGTTTGCTGCTCTTAGCTTATATTCTTTGGTACTATCACATTTTCCTATGACCATCCATTTTTCACCAAACCTAGTATAAAAATGTTCAAGTTTAACTGTTTTTTGGGGTCTTCATTTCCTTATGAATGCTCCCATGTCACACAAAACTTGAATTAAATAAATTTGTATGTTAATCTTTATTTTGTTACAGAGGTCCAAGTGAACACCTAGTAGAGAGAAAAGAATTTTTCCCTCTCCTACAAAAGCAACATCTAGTTTATTTTTTCTTCAACTATTCTGACAATCCTTGTCTTTTAATCAGACCATTTAGTCTAGTATTTAGTTAATGAAATATTTGGGTTCGTTTAAACCATCTTACTATCTGTATCCTTTTGGTCCCATCTGTTCTATGTTTCTATTTGCTCTTATCTTCTTTTAGTTTTTATTTAAATTTGATTTTTGCTATTAGTAAGTAGTTATACATTATTTTATTCTTTTAGTGGCTACCCAGAGCTACACTGCTCCCATTCAGTAATTAGTAGCCACATGTGACTACTTAGACTTAAGATTCTAATACATGTTACCTTATACACTTTAGTATATTAATGTTGATGATGATGATAGCTAGTATCACAGAATGCTTATTTAATCCTCACAATAACCCTATGAAGTGAGTATATGATTACTATTTCCATTTTACAGATAAGGGAACTAAGATGCAGGGAAGGTAAGTAAACTATCCAATCTAATAAGTGACAGAGACTGGATTTGTACTTAGAGGCTTGTGCCTTAGGCATTTATACTTACATGATATTTTCCATGGATTTGGGTTTAATAAAAATGGAGATTGGGTAAAGTTGTGCAATCTGTAATCTCTTTATGGCATTTCCAGACACATCGAGGATACAGTGTTTGCCCTAAAATAGAGGAAATAAAGAAGAAAAACAAGTGAACCAAGTATTTTCAATTATATCAAAGGTACATTTCCTACAGATACAATATCTGGATTACGATACGTTTGGATCCTGTTCACTTTAAGCAAACTTGTCATTTCTGTTAGCAAATTTCAGAGGGGAAACGAAGACAATGAATAATGACTATGAATAATTAATTTCCATTTTCAAATATTACATTTAAAAAGGAATGAAAATACAGTTCCCTTACTCCTAGCTTTCATAGACCAGTCTCAAAATGGCAACCAATATGGGGCTCCTAACTTTTATTTTGCCAAGAAAAACAACCGCCCTAAGCTACCATCTTACCATAATTATCATTTCATAAAAGAATATACAATCAACAAGAAGGTTAAAAAAAAAGACTAAAATGAAAGAGAATCTTTAAAATGGAATGAATTTAAAATTTATAAAACCTCATTACCACTAATCTGTTTCTCATTTTATTGGGGACTAGCAAAAACTATCACAAACTGGCAATTGGGAATCCCACTTCTAGATTTAAGACATTTTTCTGACATGCTTATATTTATTTACAAAGGCCATTTGGATTTTTATCTTTATGAAAAGTGTTTCCATGTTAAATAGGGTAATAATCCTAACTTATCAAACAGATTTTATTGTAACATATTTTAAATCAGGTACTGCCTCATAATGCATTTTTAAAGAAAGATTTGTTTATTTTAGAGAGTGAGAGAGAGCACATGTGAGCAGGGGGAGGGGGCAGAGGGAGAGAATCTTCAAGCTGACTCCCCACTCAGTGCGGAGCCCCATGCAGGGATCGATCCCCAGACCCTGAGATCATGACCTGAGCCAAAATCAAGAGTTGACGGCTTAACCAGCGGAGCCACACAGGTGCCCATGATAATGCATTCTGTAATCCAAGGGCTTAAGTATACTTCAACGAACAATTCCAATTTAGTAGGAATATTTATTTATTTATAGATTTTATTTATTGTTTTACAGAGGGAGTGAGAGCAAGGCAGGAGGGGAAGAGGGAGAGAGAATCTCAAGCAGACTCCCTGCTGAGCACGGAGCCCAAAGCAGGGCTTGATCTCACGACCCTGAGCTGAAACGAAGAGTCAGACACCCAACTGACTGAACTACCCAGGTGCCCCACGAGCACTACATCTTAATTTTATATACTGCTAACCTTACTCTAGTTTTTTAAAGTATCTTTCATTTTATAATGGTCTTTAGTTTTATAATGAATTTATAATTTATTTTACAAAATAATTTTATGATATTTTGTGATAGATTTTGTATGGTTTCCCAGGTATACTATTATCTGAAAATAGAGATAGTTTTACTTTTCCCCTCAATTTTTATGCCTCTAATTGATTTCTCTTAACAGCACTGACTAATGCCTCAAGTACAATGAATACCTTGAGTACAATGTTGAATAGCAATAGAGATAATGGACATCCTTGCCTTGTTCCTCAATAATGGAATTGCTTCATATTTCTCCTATTAAGGGTTCCATTCATCCATCTCAATCTCTCTCTCTTCTTTTTCCTTTTTAAAAATATAACACCAATCTCTGTATTTTTGAGTTTTTCTCCCCTCAGAAAGGGTACTGAATTCTACCAAAAGCTTCTTAGACATCTATGGATATATGATTTTTTTCTTTAGATTGTGGAAGATTACATTAATTAATTTCCTAACTTTGAGCTGACCTTAAATTCCTTTAATCCTGTTTGGTCATAGTGTATTATTTTTGCAATATGGTACTGGATTCTGTTTACTAAAAATATTTAACATTTTTGCATTAATATTTGTAAGTGATATTGGTCTATGATTTTTCCTGTCTCCAGCAGGCTTAGATATCAGTATTATACTTGCTTCATAAAAAGAATGTTCTTGAACGGTTTATGGGGGCTTTAGAACAATCTAACCTTTGATATTTGGTAGAATTTCCCTGTGAAGCCATCTGAGTCTGGTGCTCTTTGTGGGGTAGTTCCTTGATAACTTGCTCTATTTCTTCTAAAGAAATTTTCCATTTCTAATAGGTCAATTTCGGTAAACCACATTTTTCTAAAAAATTATCCATCACAACCAAGTTTTAAAATTTATTTATAGAAAGATATACAAAGTAGTCTTTTATGATTTCATAATATTTCAATGGTATGTCCCCTTGTCATTTCTATTATTTGTGATTTTTCCTTTTTTAAAAAAATCAGGTCAGTTCATGGTTTGTCTATTGTTTTTTCTAGACCTTCTATTTTTCTATGTTCTACCTTAAATTCTTTAAGAAACCATTTATTAATTATATTTACTGTAAAAAGTATATGTGAGTTGACAAAACATTTAAGTAGTTCATCAAGGATAAAGTTAGTTGTAAGTTCTCTTTCCCCTCAAAGCACCAAGAAGATTGTCAGTTTTTATTTTAAACAGCTTGATTAAAGTATAACTGACATACAATAAACTGCATGTATTTAAAGTATACAATTTAAAAAAAAATTTAAAAAGATTTTATTTATTTATTTGAGAGAGAGACACAAGTGGGGTGGGTGGTAGAGGGAGAAGCATACTCCCTGCTGAGCAGGGAGCCCCAGATCATGACCTGAGCTGAAGGCAGACTCTTAACCGACTGAACCACCAAGGCGTCCCTAAAGTATACAATTTAAGTTTTGACATGTGTATATACCCTAAAATCATCATCAAAATCAAAATAACATATTAGTCACCCTCAAAAGTTTCCTCATGCCTCTTTGAAACTTCTCCCTCTAGTTCTTTTCCAAGCAACCACTGGTCTCCTATTATTATAGGTATCTTTGTATGGACCTATGCTTTCTTTTTTCTTGGGTAAATATCCAGAAATGGATCATACGCTAGGCAACTGTTTTTCTTAAATCTCATTCATTCATTCATTCATTCATTCAGAGAGCGCCTGCACACATGGGGCATGGCAGGTACGTAGGGGAGGGGCGGAGGGAGAGGGAGACAGAATCTTAAGCAGGCTCCATGCCCAGTGTAAGTCCGATGCCAGGCTCAGTCTTGTAACTCTGAGATCATGACCCAAGCTGAAATCAAGATTTGGATGAGTAACTGAATGAGCCATCCAGGCACTCCCAAACTATTTTTCAAAGTGGTTGTATCATTTTATATTCTCACCTAGTAGAGTATGAGAGTTCCAATTGCTCCATATCTCTGTCAAAACTTGGTAATGGTCAGTTAAAAATAATTTAGCCATTCTAATGGGTGTGTAATGGGACCTCATTATGGTTTCAATTTGCATTTCCCTATTGACCGATTATCTTTTTATGTGTTTATTGGCCATTTCTTTAGAGAAATGTCTTTTTAAATACTTTGCCCATTTTTAAATTGGGTTGTCTTTATTATTACATTGCAAGAGTTCTTTATATATTCTGGATACGAGTCTGTCCTGAGATATAGGATTTGAAAATATTTTCTCCTAGTATATGGCCCGCCTTTTTATTCTCTTAAGAGTTTTTTCAAGAGCAGAGTTTTAATTTCAATGAAATCCAATTTGTCATTATTTTTTCTTTTATGGATTGTGCTTTTGGTATACTACCTTAGAAATCTTTGCCAAACCCAAAGTCATGAAGATTTTTCTATGTTTTCTTCTACAAAGTTTTTAGTTTTAGGCTTTACATTTCTGATCTATTTTTAAATTTTTTAAAAAAAGATTGTATTTATTTATTCACGAGACAGAGAGAAAGAGAGAGAGGCAGAGGGAGAAGCAGTCTCCCCAAGGAGCAGGGAGCCCCACACGGGACTCGATCCCAGGACCCCGGGATCATGACCTGAGCTGAAGGCAGACGCTCAACAATCTGAGCCACCCAGGCGCCCTATTTTTAGTTAATTTTTGTATATGATGTGAGGCAATGGCTAGTCAATCGTTCTAGCACTATCTGTTGAAAAAACTACCCCTTTTTTTTCTTTTTAAAAGATTTTATTTATTTGACAGAGTGCGTGAGAGAGCACAAGCACGGGGAGCAGCAGAGGGAGAGGGAGAAACAGGCTTTCCTGCTGAGCAGGGAGCCCGATGCAGGGCTAGATCCCAGGATCCTGAGATCATGACCCAAGCCAAAAGCAGACGCTTAACCAGCTGAGCCACCCAGGCACCCCAAGACTATCCCTTTCTCCACTGAACTGCCTTTGCACTTTTGTCAACAGTTGTCCATATATACTGTGGGTTCATTTAAGGATTCTCTAGTATGTCCTGATGATCTACCTGTCTGTCTTCATGCCAGTAATAGTTATCTTGATTACTGTATTTTTATAAGTCTCAAAATCAAGTACTGTAAGTCCTTCCTATCTTCGATTTTTTTCAAAGTTGTTTTGGCTAGTCTAAATTTTTGCATTTCCTATGAACTTTAGAATTAGCATGCCATTTTCTATTGCGGTTGTACCAAGTCTAAAAGTTCAACTGACGTCTAAGTAATATTAAAGGCTTAGAAACCATGAACATGATATATTTCTCCATTTATTTAGGGTCTTTAATTTTCTCAGCAATGCTCTGTGGTTCTTAGTGTACTGATCTGTAAATCTTTTGTTAGATTTCTCTCTTAAGTATTTAATATTTTCTGATGCCACTGTAAATAATGTTGTTTTTCAAAATTTCAACTTATGACTGGTCTAAGTACATAGGAATACAACTGACTTTTGTGTAATGAATTATACTGTATCCTTCATTCTTGCTAAACTTATTAATTCTAGTAGTTTTTTGGGTAGATTCTATCAGATTTTTTACACAGACAATCATATCACCTGCAAATGAACACAATTTTACTTCTTCCTTTCCAATCTGGACAACTGTTCTTACTTCCTTTGGACTTACTGCACTGGCTAGGACCTCTACTATAATGCTGAAAACAAGTGGTAAAAATGGATATTCTTCACATGTTTCTGATGGGTGTTGGATTTTGCTGAATGCTTTTCCTGAACTACGGAGATGATTTTATGATTTTTCTTTTAATATTTATAAATTCTGTTCTCTAATTCCTGATATTGGTAATTTGTTGCCTTTTCTCCTTTTTTTTTCTGATCAGTCCGGTTAAAGGTTTATCAATGACTTTGATCTTCTCAAATAACCAGTTTTTGGTTTCACTTATTTTATATATTGCTTTCCTGTTTTCTGATTTTTATTATTTCCTTTCTTCTGCTTATCACATAATTTGTTTTTATTTACATTATGTCCTCCCTTTCTCTCTTTCTAGCCTTTTACACCTGGCATTTATTTACTCTTAATCATTTTTGCTTGGAAGTTTTTAAGGCTATGAATTTTCCTTTGATCACTGTTTTAAATGTATCCCATGGATTCTGATACGTACTGTTTTCATTATTAAGAAAATCTATAATTTTATTTTGTATTTTCTCTTTCACATAAGAGTTAACAGTTTTAAAATTTCTAGTTTGCTGGGCCTGTTTTTAATTTTCTAATCATTTATAGCTTTATTGCATTGTGATAAGAGTATTATCTGTAACATTTCTACTTTGTGGAACTTTCTGATATTTTCTTCTCTACAGGGTTTGCGTAAGAAATAGCTTGCTGCTGGGCACCTGGGTGGCTCAGTCAGTTAAGTGCCTGCCTTCGGCTCACGTCATGATCCCAGAGTCCTGGGATCCAGGGTCACATCGGGCTCCCTGCTCAGGGGGGAGCCTGTTTCTCCCTCTGCAGCTCCCCCAGCTTGTTCTGTCAAATAAAAAAAAATCTTAGGGGCGACTGGGTGGCTCAGGTCATGATCCCAGGGTCCTGGGATCGAGTCCCGCACTGGGCTCCCTGCTCCGCGGGAAGCCTGCTTCTCCCTCTCCCACTCCCCGTGCTTGTGTTCCCTCTCTCGCTGTGTCTCTCTCTGTCAAATAAATAAACAAACAAACAAACAAATAAAAATCTTAAAAAAAAATAACTTGCTGTGACTTGGTGTTTACTTTTCCGCTTGTCAGTAATTTGAAGTTTGCACATTATCTTTCAGGTAGGATGAGGATGCAGTTTTACTTTTTTAAAAAATTTAAAAGAAATACAACATTATAAATAAAGCTAAAGGTACAATTTCTTTCCTTCTCTTCCCAAAGGAAAACCACTGTATAGTGTCTATGTATACTTCTGAAGTAGATGTGTATCATTCCCATGAACGTTTTTATATTTACTAAATATGTATCCATAAACTATACAGGCTGTTCTGTTATTTTAGTTTATATAAATAGTATCATATTGTATATCTTCTTTTTTGAGATTTATTAATGTAAATACACCTCTCTAGTGAATATTATAGTTTATTCACTCTAGCTGTCATATCCCACTGCATGAGTAAGTAATAATTACCACTCCCCTTTGTTGATTCCAATTTTTCACTATTATAAAGAGCTACTATGAACACCTTTATACATGATCCTCTTGAGTAAATTTCTACTTAGATACCAAGAAGTAAATTTTTGAGGGGCACCTGGGTGGTACAGTCAGTTAAGCATCCGACTCTTGGTTTTGGCTCAGGTTGGTTGTGAGATCCAGCCCCAAGTCAGGCGCCACACTCAGTGTGGGGTCTGCTTGAGATTCTTTCTCCCTTTCCCTCTCCTGTTCGTGCTCTCTCTCTCTCCCTAAAATAAATAAATAAATCTTAAAAAAAAAAAAAAAAGAAGTA